GAAGTGCAATGCTGAATAGTGTTGGGGATGGTTGGAAGAAAGTTAATGGCGGTCGAACCAAGACATGGCAACAGTCCTTGAAGTTATTAACTTCTGGTTTGAGCCATGTTACTAGATGCAGACTAATTGGTTGGGATCCGCGCGACTATCGTAACTAGTGGTTGGAAACTCTGTGTGACATGGTTGAGAATCAATAACAATGGCGCGGGTGTATACACTCTTTGTCCTCTCTTAAGTCGTGGGATTAAGATTGATTTATACCTTTCTTTCTACCAACTAAATCTTTCTTCCTGTATTATATTCTCATATACAATCTTTTCTTTATATATTACTACCATTGAAGTAACTACTTCTATGAGTTTGGTGTTGATCTTGTTGTGCTAACAAGGTGTGGTGACTTGGATCAATGCATATATGTGTCTGGTCCTACGTTCTAGCTGATATATATATATATACATAATTATATATATATATATATATGTTCTGGCAATAAAATATTTTGACCCTTAATTATGTAATTTTAGGTTCGAACTCCATCCACTTCATGTAATTCAAACTGATTAGTCTACTAGTATCACTAACCTGTTTACAAATGTGTGAGTAAAAACTCAATACACAACCTAATACTTGGTTAGTATTTTAATAAAAAATATAATTGTCACTAAGCAAAGATGGATAGTGGCTAGCGGTGGAATCTAGGACGTGCGTTTCGTCCTATTTGGGACTCGTCAGTTGGATGTACCTGCCTCTCAGAGTTGATGTTCACTCTGGAACTCACACAGTATGTATACATGCCAATAACAGACTGATCAGTTGCAGTCCTAAACATCAATGGGAAAATTCAAGTAAACAATAACAAGTGAATTTGTAGTTGTTACTGTTAAGATTTCTTTAGATTACAAAAATATAGAACAAATCAACCAGTCTCAGCTGATGTAAACATTGTGCCAAAAAAAATACAGCTCTACCTTGTATCATTTAATTTAATTCAATCATGCCCATTAATTTTGTGTACTGACTAAAATTGATTACTAAATCACAAATAATAATAATCGTACTATTTTATGCAAATCAAATTCATGTTGACTATTGATAGGGTGATAATTACGTTAATAACTTATCCAATAATAAACATACATATTGACTAGACAACTAAGGGTATACTCTAAGTATGTACATAACTATGAACGGCTAATTATTAACCAATATGAGACATTTTAGATATGCATTAAAACTTATCACTTTAAATATCAATGAACATATTTATATGGGACAATTAAAAAAAATTTTGATAGAGATTAAGAAATGATATAAATTACTCTATTTTTTCAAAAGGAATACGATGGGAATAGCTGATCAGTCTAATTATTCATGATAATTTTGTACGGCAACTAAAATATATATAATGTATACCGAAAACGGTTTCCTTAAGTTCCCCAGATAAACAAACATTTTAATTCATTTTTCTATACTTAAAAAAATATATTTAAATCTTGTCTAAAATAAATTCTTTGAATTTCATTAAAAAATTTAGTTGCTATGCTTAAGTTAAATCGGTTAAACTTTTGACCTCATTATTATCATAAATGTGTATGCATTGATTTAAGTGCTTATTTATGATATGTATTATTATTATTATTATTATCATCAATATAATTATGTTTATAAACGCATACTTTTTAATCCATTAATATTGTGTGAATAAGTGAATCTTTGTATGAAATACACAATTTAAGTGGTTAGATTGAACGATCGGTGGACAGAATTTCACTTGTTTAAATTACAAAAATTTACCGAGAAAAATCAATAATCATTATAATTATTATGATAATAATAATAAATACTTTGTTCAATATTTGAATAAATGATGATTCAAGAGTTTGTATAAATATTTATGTATATCGGAATCTATCATCAGGTGTGTTACTTATGTCCATATACTCGAATTATATATGCATACACCAATAATAAGGGAGGGGTGGAAGAATGTAAAAAGAGGGGAACGATTAATATATACATATAAAATAGTGTAAAAAAAAATAAATATGTCGATCATATTTAAGTAACAAATAGAAAAATTTCATTCTTACTACAAACAGGAGAGAGCTACACAAGATTTGAATTTTCGAAAAAAACATTAATAATTCTATAAAATATTATCAGCTACTGAAAATAGAAATTTAATTGACCATACTATTATATATAAATGCTTGTATGAATGTACGTATATATGTATACATTTTTAAATATAAGAACAAGTGAACAAATATAGTCAAATAATTGTTTATTTATGTAAACAAAACATTTACAAAGGCTTCTTCAGTTTACTATTCGACTAGTTAATATAATAAGTGATGAGTTAGTTATTTGATTGTTGTAGAAAACTAATATAAACATGAACATGTATGTTTTCATGCTTTCAAACACTGTCATATATATATATGCACGATAATTTGAACAAATTTAATATAAAGACTTAAACAACAACTTACATTTTTGGTAATATCATAGTAACAAGAGATGAACGTTTTCAAATTTAAGTTTCGAAAAAAAGGACGATGAAAATATGATTTAGATAAGATACTACCACTATTATTATTATTGAATTAACTAAGAATTATTGTTTACACCATAATAAATGTCAATTTAATACTTGCTTAATACATACAAGACTGTGAAAAAACGCTTATTTTAATTTATTGTTTGAAATTTTCAATGGTTACTTTTTTGTTGCGTATACTTTATCTAGAATGGATAGTTTTTCTGTACGTAAGGATTAAGAATTCACTTTAGATGAAATGAAATTTAAGATAAATTTTCTATCTTAATTATAATCATATACTCATGAGTAAGTAGTTTCTAGAAGCATTTTAGTTGAGTTCTGATGTGAAATTGTAACTGGTTAACTTCGAATATACCATCAATGGATTCTTTGATTCTGGGCCAGAAAGTAGTCTGAAGGTAAACTGCCCTTGCTGCAAGATCTGTAGACGGTTCATTCGTGAGACTTAGTTGATAATCATTTAGTTACAATAATATCTTATTAATGACTCACGTGCATTTGTATGTGAATTGGACTTACGTATGTAAACTTACGATAATTATTACTAAATAAGATGATTTTGTATGAACCTACGTCATTTTAACAAGACAGAAAATTAACAAGGTGAGAAGTTTAGTAAATAGACTAAATCTAATTCCGATAGAATAAAATGAAATTTAAACGAAGGTAAATAATAAATACAACTGACTTCATTGTGACCAACTTTGAAATCATGTCACCCATTGCCTTTCTGATGATGGACTACAAATATTTTGTATATTCGTGTGGAAGTCGAAATCTACTGACAAGTCTTTTGTCAACAGTCAATATTTGTGTAGATTGATACAGTGTATTGGCGATATCGTAATAAATAGATTCTGAGTTTTTTGTGCTACAAAGTTATACTGATTGACGAATATGACAACAATAGTTTAAAGCAATTAGTCGCTTTGATAAATTTAATGATTCTATGCTTATATGTAAATCAGGCTTTGATTTGTGACATTAATAAAATTCAATTTTTTCTGGGATTTTGACTTGCTGAAAATTAGTTTTTATCAGTTTCCCTGGTTTGGAATTCCTGGAAATTGTTCCCTTCTATACTGAATACAACATAAAATTTACTAAGCTGCGTATATACTGTGCAGTAGCCTACCTGCATTACTTTATGGTTGTCAAAGACAGATGTTGATGTTAGAAGACGTGTATAGGCTGCAGTTTTCTGATAATAGGTGTCTTCGAAGCACCTCTTGTATTCTTGTGAAAGGATCGAGTGAACATTGTTGAGGAATAGGGTGGGGAATCAATTGATGGGGCTGTAAATCTTCATCGATCGCAGGAGTTATGACATGTGGTTTGCAGGCCTACTAACTACCCAGCTCAATAATTGATACTTGAAAGCCCAGAAATAAGTGCGAAAAACAAAACAAAGGTTTAGACCTTAGCATCGGTCATTGTGGAACTGGCCCAGATTGATTGATTTTGACTATATGGTTTATGTCGACGCGTCAACTGTGGTTGGAGACTGAGCGATATGGCTGAGAGGCATTTATTCTTTCTTCCTCACAACCTTAAATTATAATATTCTCCCATACATACCTTTCCACTACGTCATTTTGAACCCAATTCTTAATGTATTGTCTTCATCATGATCATTGCTACTGTATTATTTCTATCTCTTGTTATCTCTATCTTGTCTAGTTAATTTGGTATTGTAAGTTAGGCCTACGCAAATCTATGCCAAACCATTTATTGATATGAACTGCTAACTGGCTACAGAACTGGTGGTCAATACAATATTATTTTAGCCGATAAATCAAAGTTAAACAGTTCTTATTTTTTTGACTTCAGTCAACCACCTTAGTACCTATTCACTGTGTTTACTTATAGTATATTTTTTGATAGATTTCCCTCAATATTTAAGTATGAAACTGTGACTTGTCAAATGAACCAAATGTAAAAGGTGTGATAGTTATTCATAGAATTGAACTGTACAAATGGACTAAAATATTTAACTGATCTTCACGAATTGTAAAGGAATTCATCTTCAAAAATATATTGTCTATTATTAACTAAATTGAATTAGTCTACTTTTGGTTACCTAGTAAATATTTTTTAACAATTCAGTTATTTATAAAATCCAATCATGATTGGATTGTAGATTACTATGAAAAGCTAGTGACAATTGCTAATAACCTAAATAAACTGATACACTTAATAACCAAGTTTAAATTTATGCACTTGATTTTAATGTATACATTTTATATTATGCGGACTAATATAACTATTTGGTCTGTCTGAATTGAAGCAAACAAAAGAAATAAACACGGTTTGAGTACATGACCTAATCATTGACTTCGATTGTTTTAATTATTGGCGTATCAGTACAGTAACTTTATAATGACCAACTCATATTTGACAAGGATTATCAATATTTCAAGTTTATTCATATACTTACTGGAATTAATTTTCTCCGCATACATGTCAGATTGGTTACAAAGACAATTATTAAAATTAACTGATTTTGTATCTATATTTGGTTGATTTAATTGTTCATAAAATTGATTATTTTCTGTATTATTTACTCTGATAGTATTTGTCATGATATTATTCATTTGTTCAGATGAGTTTTTTACCGTTCGATCCCATTGGTCGGAATGCTCTTGTACAAGGTCATGGCTCGGTAAAGGCATATTTTCTCTTTCATTCATCTTGTTGCCGTCTTGATGCTGAATATTAACATAATCATTATTATCTTCAATATTATTCATCTTTCTACTATTATTATCATTACCAATATGATTTAGTGATATAGATTCATTTGGAGTAGCATAATTAGTTAGTGTGTTACTCATTATATTATTTGTATTTTCATTATTACAATAATCCAAAGTAACCGGTGATGATGAATAATGTGACACAATCATTGTTGAGTTCGCATGATTACATGAAGTTGGAATTTGTAAAAATGATATTGGTAGTCTGGTATTAATAAAATTATTATTATAAGAGAATGAATTGATTATATTAGGATTATCATTTTGTATCAAATTTTCATGAATGGGAGGATAATTGTACGGAATCGATTGCATATGATGGAAGTGATCATTAGATGAATCAGGATTCTCTCGATTACTACGGTGATAAGCATTTTCACACCATGTTTGTATCCACATTTGTTGATCTTTATTGGTTAAAACGTAGATTTGCGAAAATTCTGAACGTATTTTATTCTTTTAGAGTCTAAAAAGTAAATAAAAATATTGTTTAGATAAGTTTATCACTAAATCATTTATACTTGTTCGAAGGAAATGAAATAGCATCTGCTGAGGATTATTGTATCAATGAGGAAAAGCAAACTATTCTAATAGACAGTTTCCTGTTTTACTCATTTTATTTTTTGTTATCGAAACTCTTAAAATGGAGAACAAAATTTTCAGTTATTTAGTTCAAATATCATTTTCAAACAAAGAATATTCTTTACTAGTTAAGCAACTTTGATACTGAAGATGAAAAATTCACTTGTGTATTATTTTCAGTAAGTCTATGAAGTTTAGAGTGAATTATTGTTCATTTTCGGAACATTATTTCTAATATATTACTTTTAAAAAGAAAAAGAAAATAATAAGAACGTTTATGGTTGATTGTTGAATAGACTTACATGTTCTAAAATCACGTAAGTTTTGTTAAATAATTATTTCTAACATTATCATTCTCAAAAATAAACAAAATACGCTTCAATATTCGATTGGTTATTTTAGCAATTTTTAGAACCAATCAAATTTTACCCATTCAAAAAAATGCTATTAATATACCCCTATAGATGTTTATTTATTTCCGTTAATCTGATTGGTCTTTTGATAAGCATAAAAAGTAATACATTTTAGATGACTAGTTTTCAATTCTATTTTTTTCTCAGAAAATGTTTTAATTTTAACATGAACTGTTAAGGTATCTCAGATAACTCGATGAAAACAAATTTATTGTCTAAAATAAACGTTTCAGAGACGTTAATAATTGTTAGTTCAGAAATATGAGGAGTAAACTGATTTGCAAAATCAATATCGTTAAATTTAAAATCCAAGTTTATATATATACCACATCGATTAAAGTCGATTTTAATTATAATCTTGATCTTTTATTGCTTACTTAATTACGCCTGTTACCTCTCATGGAGGAGCATAGGTTGTCCACCAGCTTTCTCTATCCAACTCTATCCTGGACAATCTTTTCCAGTTGTTTCTAGTTTATATTAATTCTTTTGTTATTTGTATAATAAATTTACATGTATGTTCATTTATCATAAGTTTACCTGATTGAATATAAATTTCCTTTACGTTTGTGATTAATCTTTACAAATGATTTTTAGTGATTCCTCAGATGATGTTATGAGATCAATAGCAAGCAATAGTTCAATTTCAGCATAGAATTCAACCTCATTATAGCTTTAAATATTGACAGTTGAAATATATATGATGCAATCGACTGACTGTAAATAAGTCTAATATTTTCGTTAAAAGTTCTTCAAGAAAATGAGCAACTTTAACATCGTGAATAAATAAATAAAATTAAATAAGAATAATGTGTTTGCAGACAAACCTGTGATTCTATGTTCCGAACTCGTTATGATGTGTATTTTAATTTTATCAATATTTCAGTAACAATGTAAGACTTCTTTTGATATTTAACTGTCCTATATCAATAATATTGTATTAATATAAGCGGTTTGTAAAGATTACTGGGCTTTAGAGACTTCATTATAGACCAAACATAATCAAACAGCCATTCGAAACTTAAAAGTAATAGATAGTTGTCACATCGTGATATATATCCCGTAAATAGCGCGCATCCAAAACCTCACCGGAGATCAAACACGAAATCTTTAGGCCTGCCAACAAGTGCTTCACACTAACTTTGCTCTCATTGAACAAGTATCATGCTTTCTAGTTCCTAATGATTGTTTAACTAAGTTCAGTCTGTGGTGTAAACTATCAAGTATAATTTTGGTTGTGTATTTGTTAAGACTCATAAACTAGTTGTACATTATGATTGCAAGCCTGGGACTGTGAAGGTGGATGACTCGGGAGTTGAATCCATCGGGGATCATCAGTTTTCCTAAGATTACAGGTATATCTTGCTGATGAGTACCGAATAGGATGAAACCTAGGTCCAGGATCTCCTATCGACAACTTCCACCTTACATCGCAGCTAAGTTTAGAACTTAAAGTTGGGAGTGTCAGAATTAAGAGTTACGAGTGAAACATGTTGTTAGAGTAGGAGAATACATTTCGCCACAAAAATAATCTTGGTTATGCCCTGAATAATTCGAAGTACATACGGATACAAGTGCAACATGGAGCAGGTATAGCTTACAGAACATGTAAAACACTAGTCGGTTGCATAAAAGATATTTTAAAGGCATTTCACTAACTAGATATAAACATTTTTACTTAGTTTCTAGTAAGATACATGTTGTCCTTCACTAAGCTTTGAATTTCATGCAAAAATCCGAGGGGTACTAATTTAAATTTGATTGACCTAATCAAGATAATCAGTATAGTACAGTTTTATCAGAACTGTTGATCATATATACTACAAGTTAACTGACATGATATTTATCAGTTGATTGATGTTAAATATTTTAATTTTTTCTTTTAAAGTACATTACTGTACATTGTCTCATAAGACTATTGATCTACATAATATTATGCATATACAAGTCATAATTCAATTGATTAATCCATCATGAACATTTCTTGTTTTCATGTGTAGATTTTCTGCAAATTAATCAATATTGTCTTACGTACTAAAAAATGACTAGTAACTTTTACCTGATGAAATAATTCTAAATACTTATTACCAACATGGTGGTCTAGCACAGATCAACTCATGAATTCAACTGTTAGAACAAAAAACCCTGTCTAGAATACCATTTTCTCTTGACGAAAATTACTCCGGTTATATTAATCAATTAAATTGGATAACATAGTTTATAATTTCATTTCAAAAGTTATTTGCTAAAATTTTTACCCTTACATTGTTTAGTAATTTCTGTTATGGGATCTTTTTTACCTGATTGTTAAGAAAACCATGAGAAGAATAAGCAAAGATAGATAGTGGCTAGAAGTCGAACCCAGGACGCGCGTTTCGTCCCTTCTGCAACTCTTCAGCTGGATGTGCCTGCATCTCAGAGTTAATGTTCACTCCGGGGCTCTCACAATATAAGAAGAATGGTAGTCAATGGATTTTCAATAATTTCGCTTACAACACAATAGTTTACTATTGCAGCAGATAAACTTGTTTAGTCCTAATAATGATAAGGAAATATTTTCAATACGAATAATTGTTAGACATTTATATAATTGAGGCATAACGTTTTAAATAGTAAAATGATTATATGTGAAAATTATATTTGAAATGATTGATTTTGAATTAGATGTTTTGATCAACACAATAATTTAATAAATATTGTAGTTAAATGATAATGTACAAAAGCCAATTATCCCCCCTACAGACCATCAGTACCGCATATTTCACTGATCTACACAAAATTCAGATATCTATACCTTATTTGTAACTAGGACGAAGCGCTTTAATGAATAATTTTTAATTAATGTAAGTAGGAAAAGAAATATTCTAACCAATAATTGATGAAGAGATTTTGTAGGATTATATTTTGTAAGTTATATTTATTGCAGATGTAACTCATTTGGAGTACCTTTGAAAACTACGGAGCACTAGAAGGCGATTTAAAATTGGTACAGGTTCCTGAATTTCTGATAAGAAATCGTGATCAGTAGAGTTTAGGTATACCCCGAGTGAAACATTGGTCACAAATGGCATTAGATGATCAGAGGGCTATATCACGGATTGATTGAAGTTTAGGAGTGTGTAACATTGTATACTAACAAAGTACCTAGTGATTAAGTATTCAATAAGAGACTCCAATGTCTGATGATGGGTGCACAATGCAGAAGACTCTATGTTGGAATGATTCTAATCTAAGGAATTTAAGATATTATATCCAGTTTAAACTAATGAAGACTGAAGGTCGTGGGTTCAATCTCTGTGGTGACACTGTGTAGAGAATTTCGAAATCTTACGCTATAAACTTCTAATTTCGATTATCATATGATATTAATCGAACTATCGTGTTATTTCTGATTATTGTCGATCGATCTCATTATTAAATGCATACGCGTGAGAAGTGCTTACTGAATCGTAGGCTTTCGTTCTCTCTTGTTCTTTTCTCTTCCAAATTCTCTCATGTCCTGCTCCTCACACTCCCTCCGCGTACATGGTACCTTCAAGCTGGACGAAAAGTTACTAAACGCTGAACTTTGTAACTGTAGTTATTTAGTGCTTACTTGTTATCTTAATTGGCTTTTCAGTTCACATCAGTTTTTCATTTTTGTATATTCTTCATTAGGTGGTTAGAAGTAGACAGTAGAAAACCCTAAACCAAGACTGTGAAGCTGGGTGATGTAGTTTTGAGTCTCACAGGAAATATTAGCTTCCTCAAGATTACATGCAGGACTTTCTGATGAGTGCCAAATACCACAAAACCTAGGTATTAAATTTCCCACCGGCTATCTTCATCCACTAAGCACCTCAACATAGTTTAAATAATATTGAGTCACTTGAACAAATGACCATGTTACAACTTGATTAATAGAATTCCATCAATTCCGAAGTTATTGGTTACGAATCAGCTAAATGTACATATATATAGCTTATTTATATTTTCGTGGATATTTAAGTTTATTCGTAAAGAAAGTACATTGGTCATCCAGAAAACTCCACATAGTCTTTGTAAAAAGAAGAAATAGTTGACGATACTGCTTGCATTTCCATTTTATAGTCAAGTAAATCGTACTAAGATCAAATAGAACTTCAAAATACCATGACTACCAAAAATCTAAAAACACAAAGAATTAACAAATATTTTCGAATTTTATTATTAAATAGATCGAATTTAACAATAATAATAATAATAATAACAATGGCATCTTAATATAAGTAGTACGAGTCTTTTCATACCTTAGATACAATAATAATAAAAGCTGTGTTTTAGTCCATAATGCATTTTATGAATGGTGTTTATTACTTTTCCAAATTGTTCACATTTCTCTCTATCCTCTCTTCAAAATGTCTAAACAAAAGAAACAATTTCATTCTTGCTAACAAACGAATGTACAAAGGAAAATAGCAAACATAATAAAGACATTTACCATTTAATGAATTTAATTTTATTTGGAAATTAAAAAACAATAATGACGTTATAAAAACAGTTTTGGGATTGTATAGATATTGACTACTTAATTTATACATATACTTACAATTGACTAGTTACTGAGTAGTGATCAATTTAATCGAAGTCAAGTCCTTAACACCAATTGGATTGTATTTACTAAATTGCAGTGTGGCCACTTTTCTAGTTGACTGAACATCCCTTGGACTGTGTTGAGATGTAAGACGCTGGCTGGAGGTAGTTGACAGGACACCCCCACCTGGTGCTCGAATAGCTTTGTGGTAACATTTCCGACCATGAAGCTGGGTGACATGGAGTCGGATCCACTAGGGACCATCAGTTCCCTCAAGAATACCGTTACATTCTTGATCTGTCTACCCAGTAATATACGGGGGAGAATTCGTCTC